CAGCTGAGGAGAGAAAAGATTAGTGAGAGGATGAAATTGCTGCAGGAACTGGTCCCTGGATGTAATAAGGTAAAAATAGGTGAAATAATAAGGCCTTGGTGTTTTATTTTTGTTTCATTTTTTTATCTTTATTTATCATTTGTAACAGTTGATCTGATATGCATTTTGATTTCAAGATTACTGGCAAAGCAGTGATGCTTGATGAGATTATCAACTATGTGCAGTCACTGCAACAGCAAGTCGAGGTATTTATATACTTGCACCGATTAGTTGAAGAAACTTCATCTGGGTTAGTTACCAAAATGTAATATGATAGACTTCTGTGTTGAGTTCATTAATGTGATCCCTTTAATGAGAATTGTCTGAACTTAGATGCCTTAATTCGTGGTGGATGAATATGTCTATATATTTTTCATAACTATCCTATCACCAAGTATTATCCTATATCCAACATCAGACGATTTCACTTTTGAAACTGCAGTTTTTGTCAATGAAGCTGGCAACAGTAAATCCAGAGCTGAATGTGGACATCGAGCGTGTTTTGACTAAAGATGTAAGATAATATCGACGAACATAAACTGTTTGATGTGTTATTTTATTTTATTTTATTTTATTTCTAATTACCATCTTTTTACGACCTTTGTAAATTTGTGTATATCAGCTTCTACATCCACAGGTTGGTTTAGGACCAGGTTTTGGCTCATCTCATGCTTTTACAGGACTTCACAGCTCGACTGCTCTGCCTTATCATCCCTTACCCCCGGTAAATCAAACTAATCCTAAACAAATATCAAAATCAAAATACCTCTTTGTTTTTTAAATGTATTTTCTAGTTGAAGCTCTGAAAACAAGGTATGCGTTAATTTCTTTCCAGAACTTGTGGAACAATGAGCTGCAAAGTATCCTCCAGCCGGGATTCGATTCTAACCCTTCGCTCGGCAGTTTGGGGGCAAACGGTAATCTTGCCCGAACTTACTAATTATGTTGATCATTGTGTTCTCTCTGTTGAGTTCTCACCGTATGAGACCATGGTTTTCAGGTTTGTCGAAAATGGATTTGTAGAGCTTGTCAGCAATATTTCGGAAATTACTTATTTTGTCTAATTGAAAATTCCAGCATTTATGTATTGGTGATTTTATATTATTATATAGGGGAACATATTGTTTTAATTAAGCCCTCCTTTGTTGTCTAGTGGTTTTGTATAGGTATCAAGTCCCTAACTCTTTCATGTTCTTCGGATTTTAGCAGAAGAAATCACTGTTTAGATTCATCACAAAAGTGTGTAAATTTGTCTCTGAGGATGCCTTGATTGAATATGGTGATTGGTTTTGGTGAGTATTTTGTTAAGTACAAAACTGGCTGTGTTTAACTTCATAAGGTATATGTGAACTGCATTTGGTTCCAATTTGTTGGGTTGTTTTTTTATCATTAATACAAGTGGAAAAGACTTCAGTCCTGTGACGGAATGGTTCCGTGAGGGATTTTAACCATTGATTATCTAAAATAACTAACTAACATGTATATCTAAAGGCTAAAATCTCTCACGGAACCATTCCGTGACAGGACTGGTCTTTTCCTATACAAGTAGATGCACTTGTACAATCTTCTAATTGTGTGATGTATATTGTGTGTACATTCATTGAATCACACATTCATTTGTGCAGAACTATGGGGTTTGTGAATCACAAATGTGGAGTCGTGTCTCAAGTTAATATCATGAGAATAGTAGAAAATTGCAAAAAATTGGTCCTTTAAATTTTATCCGTTCAAATATCAATTAGGAAGGTGGTCCAGTCCTGCAGTTTGAGGGTAAAATGTTTCACCTATGATGAATAAGTCAAGGCTTCGAGTGACTGAAGAGGAGAAGTGAAAACACTATTGATCCTTATATAAAAAAAAAAAAGTTGGCCAGTCCTATTTAAGTTGTAATAATTTTCATACGATTCGATGCAGTAATAATTTTTTTTGCTCATTTTTTTTTTTGCTAACATTAGAAATAAACCGTTAGATTTTGCATTAATCAAGTGGTTATATATATATATTTTTTAAATTTATTGCATGATAATTAATACTAACAAATCATAGTCACTATTTATCACAAAACTGTTTTTTACATATTATTGCAAAACTTTTTTTAATTTATTTATTTAAATTTCTTATTGTTGTTGTTTCAACTAACTAAATATTTTTTCTCATGTAATCAATTGATCATAACCACTTAAAACTATGAGGTTACATTATTGCAATCAATATAGTGATTTATATGTGATTATATAGTTTATATTTGTATCGTTAATTATTACTTAAAAAGAAATTTATAAAATTTGGTATACTTATTATCTAACTTATGATTCTATATATTGTATGATTGTATAGACATATATAGCTTATATTTTTTTTATATGTGCATGTTAACATGATCGAGTACTAGTATCACAGTATCACTAATTGTCGTGTGTCATGGCCTAATTAATTATTTGGATGCCATTGTGGATAATTTTTTCTTTTTTTTTTGGTAACACTAGTCTTTTACGTATCAAATACTGCGATGGTCCTCGTATATGTAACGAAATATATTTGATTTCTTCGCTCGCTCCACTACGCTCGCATGCATCAGCCTGCCTCCTTCCTTTGTTAATATATGAGCCATACCAATAATAATAATAATAATAATAATAATAATAATAATAATAATAATAATAATAATAATAATAATAATAATAATAATAATAATTTAGTATTCTTCAAGCTAATTAAATTAAACTACAATGCCTAAAAATCATAAAAATTAAATTATCTACTACATGTTATCCAATCAACAATAGTGATTCGTGTGTAGTTAATAGGTTATATTATATTGTTCATTTACTAATGATCAAATTTGTAAGATGTGATAGGTCCATTATCTAATTTATATTTTACATATATATGTATATACTAGTACAACACCCCTTTATTATACGGGTGCTTGATAATATTTTTTTCTTAAAATTTAAAATTAATCAGAAAAAATAGTTGAAAATTTAAATACTTTTTTATAAAAAATATATATTATATATATTTTGGTATGACACTTGTTACTTGTGCGACTTACTTGTGTTGTATTATAATAATTACTAGTACAACACCCATGTATTACACGGTGGTTGCTATTTTTTTTTCTTAAAATTTAAAATTAATGAAAAAAAGTGGTTCATAATTTAAATACTTTTTATACAAAAATATATATTATTATATTTTTTAATATGACACTTGTTACTCGTGCAACTTACCTGTGTTATGTTATAATAATTTTTCCAATTTATAACGTATAAATACATTAAACATAAATATATTAATTGAGAAATTATTTTATTTTTCTAATTAATTTAAATAAATAATGTATTATTATAAATATAAATCTAATTTAATTATTTTATATATACAATATGGATGTTAAATCGAACCTCACTAAAAGATGATAAATTAATATATCATATATATAAAACCGATAAGAATTACAAAAGTTATGAATTTTTAAAATACATTTACAATTCAATGGTTATAATATGAAATGATAGTAGAATATAATTGATACATCTAAAATGATCATAAATAAATCAACATATTTATGATAATCCGAACTTAATTATTTTTGGATTGGAATTAAACTAATTTCTATCCAACCCAAATAATAAAGTATAAAATTTTGACACATAAGATCCCAAAGCATGCGAGTCTCTCACTTAGGCTCAACACATTCGACAATTATACCAAACATCGACTCCTCACCCACCTTGCCTCTTCTGACCATTGTATACCATTGTATGATGGTCTTGGTTGGTTGAGGGTATGAGAAGTGTGTAGAAAAGGAGGTTTGTTGATGAATAATGAAGCCTCGCAGAAAGCTGGTGGACTTCTTTTAAGTTGAAAGACAGCAGTTGATCCTCTAGAAGCCTCATTGGTTGCTGGTGTTTGGATCCACAAGGGCACCGACTAATCTGGAATCGAGCCGGGTAAGACCACAAGGGCGGCAAAATTCTCCCTCAAGAGTTTTAACACTGCTGTATTCCCAGGGCTCGAACTCGAGACCACTGGTTAAGCTGGAAGAGACCAAAGTCATCTCATCCAAGCGCTCTTGGGTACTTCTTTTAAGATGAAAGACAGCATTTGATCCTCTAGAAGTCTCATTGGTTGGTGTTAGATGAGGACACACCAAAACAAGTATTCATTTAAAACACTTGAGCACAAGGCAATAAATTAACTGGCCAACACATTTTCATCATTACTCAGGGAAAACCATCAACTTTATCCATCCCCCCAAACACCTACAACAACTACTACATCATCCCCATAACCTTAATAAACAAATTTCTGTTCCTAAACTCATAAAAGGCCTTAATCAAGATTACAAAAAGAATATACCCCCAAAGAAAAAAGAATTATTAAAAAAAAAGCAGAAGTAAACTACAAAAAA